TATTATTTGTATTTAAAATAAATTTTAAATGTAAGGCATAATAATTAATAAATTAATTAAAAGACGAAAACAATTTAAAATACATCAAACACAATTACTTACTAAAGTTAAAATGAAATATATTAAATAGCGTATACATACGATAATCTAATTTTATTTTTAAAAAAAAAGATACATAAAAAAGTGCATAATTCAATAATCTAGAAGATCACTTCCAGATCCTCCAAAATTGTTAAAATAATTTCCAAACAAAGATATGCACTTCGAAATGCATTAATCGATCATTTGTGGAATGAACATATAAATCCTGAGAATTAAATTGCAAAAATTTAGCTACTTCGTAATATCGTCTATCCAAATTCGAAATGCATTGTACTATTTTCTGATGGCATGATTTCATTTTTTCGTTGTTGTAGTATTTTTATTAATTGTTCTATTTTTTTTATATTTATTAATGAATTTAATCTTTTCCGTAATTTAACATAATTATTTATTTAGTAATTTATGTATTTATGAAATAATTAAATAAATAATATTTCAAGTAAATAAATTATAAAGAATAAAAAAAAGGGAAGAAAATAGTTAAACACTGTTAATTTGGTGTAATGGTTGGAGATGAATTTTAATTTGGTGCAAAATTTGGAGATGGCCTAATATATGGTAATGTCAATTAATTCGAAAATCTAATCCTTTTCCTCTTTTGCTTGCAGTTCATTGTTGGTGGAAACTGGAAGTCGAGATTGTATAATATATTTTTCAGTGGAAACTGGAAGTGAGAGAAAGAAGAATGGGTTTTAATTTGGTAGAAATGAGGGGAGTCGTGCGAGGGACAGAAATTCTTTGGATTTCTTTCGTTTCGTGTTTTTTTTTTTTTTTTAAACATAACAACAATGCCACATCAGTTCGTCAAGAAGCCTCGTTTGATTCCCATTACCTGGATGAAAATGAGGGGAATAGTATTTTTTAGAAAAATGAGTAGTTGAAAAAGAAAGAAAAGTTTTCGATTTACGTATAATGTTATTTTATGGAAGATTGTGTGATTGAAAATAGAAAAGAGAGAAATAAAATGTAATGTAATTTAATTTAATGGGGATCAAACGGGGCGAAATGTTGTCGAGTGTTGTATACGTAGCAGCATTGGCTTCATTTATTAACCAATCCTAACAAAATTACCTAATTGCCCCTACACAAAAAATTCCTATTAAGTGAGGTAATGGCAATTCCGTCTTTATGCTTCATATGCAGTCAGAAACAACAGCGCCACTGGGTCCCACTGACAAGAAAAATGGTCAAACAATGAGTTTATTTGGTAAATAGCATAAAACGTTTTTACTTTTGACATTTATTGCGAAAAATGTTTCTATTCATTTTTGGGAAATGCAACATGTACAAAATTATCTACACAATAGTGTCCATAATTATATGTGACACTGGATCCAACCCTTAATTCAAATTTCACACTTTCACGTCAACAATTTGGATGAATGTCACATCATATTATGTGCAATAATTATTTAAATATAGACTTTTCCTTCATTTTTTTTTTTTGCATTTTTGCCCTTAATTCAATGTTTCATTGCAGAATACTTCATTTTTACCATTTTTATAATGTAAAATGATCACGATACCCTCCCATTTAAATAAAATCAAAGAAAGAAAAGAAAAATAAAGAATAAATTGCAATCCTACTCCTAAATGTTTGAAAAAGTGCAAGCGAGTCCAAATAATTTTTAATGGGCTTAATAGCACGAAATATCCCTATGCTTGGTCGGTAGTGTACAAAACGTCCATAACTTTTCAAATTGGTGAAAATAAAGTTTTTTGCAATGAAACGTGAAAATGGGGATGAAATGCAAAACAATTTGAAATGTAGGAACTTTTTCTGCAAAAAAGTGTCAAATATATGGACGTTTTGTGTATTAGGCATTGTTAAAATTGAAACCATCATTCAAACTGTCAGACCTCCATACCATTTCCAAACTACCATCATCTAAACTCCGATGGCACCACCTGTTTCGAAGAGACCCAAGTCATTTCTAACACAATAATCGACTATACTCATCAGGACGTCTTTCTTCATAATCTTAAAACATCAACAGATGGTTCTGCAGTATGGAGGTTCGACGGTTTGGACGATGGTTGGTCGAATTTTTTTCACTTCTAAAGTGACAGTTTCATTTGGAGAAAGAGAGAGAGAGCGAGTTTTTTTTTTGTTATTTTTAATATTTTAATATAGCTTAATAACACAAAACATCCCTACATATTAAACTTTTTGTGAAAAATGTTCATATGTTTCTACAACTTTAATAAGGTCTAATAGCACAAAACTTTCATAAAAATTATTTATTATTTTTATTTTTTTTTTTATTTTTTTGCATTTTCATATTTATTTTCACGTTTCATTGTGAAAAATGTCATTTTTACCAATTTGAAACGTATGGATATTTTGCACACTACATGCCAAACGTACGTACGTTTTGTACTATTAGGCATTTTAATAGTTATTTGGACTCACTTGAACCTTTTAAAACATTTAGGAGTAAAATTGTAATTCATTCTTTATTTTTCTTTTTCTTTTTTTTTTGTTTTATTTAAACAATGAGGGTATTTTGATCATTTTACATTAAAAAAATGGTGAAAATTACGTTTTCTACATTGAAACGTTGAAATAACGGCGAAAATCTAAAAAAATGAAACGTATGGGTGCTTTCAGCAATAAATGTCAAACATATGGACATTTTGTACTTTTTAGCCAATTTCTTTCGGGCCAAAATTAGCACCTATTTAGTGAAAATTAAAATTTAATTTAATTTTTGATAAAAATTGATAAGACCTATGATTAAAAAATTGTAAATTTCATTAAATATATAATTAAAATTAATTATTAATTTAACTTGTATTAAAATCTAAATTATAATCGTAAGGGATTACAGTAAGGCTAGGGAATAAAAAGAAAGAGAAGACAGAAATGTGGGAAATCGAAAAGAAAAGAAAGAAAAAGATATGCTGTCTCCAACGAACATTTTGCATTCGGTGCCAATTCTTTTGTAGTCTGGATGGGTTCAATTTCATGGCTGCCGAACATGCTCCTACTTCAAAATTATTGAGCTTTTAAAATATTTTGAAATTAAAGTGTATGCACTCGCCGATCATCACGTTTTAAGACTTGAGATCGGAAATTGGTAATTTTGTTACCCAAATTTGAATTTAGATTTGGAGCTTTTGCACGCCTAAATATACCCTTCTACGTATTCCATTATACAGGGCAAGAACTCCACCAATCTAAGATCGAGATGGTAAATGAACAATACAAACAATCTTCTTTCAGCATTTTCGATCCCATTCACTTTTTGCTAGGCAAGAATGTAGCATGTAACGAGGTAGCTCATTCTGTAACATGGGCGCTCACTTCCATGGCAGAGGGTGCAAGGATGGTTGGGTTGGAAGAAATTTGTCTAGGTTATTACAGAAGATGCAGACAGAAGTCGAAAACAAGATTATGTTAAGCTGAACTGCCACGGCCACTTTGGAGAAAACCTTTTATAGAACTCAAGCAATTTTTACATAGTTGTTTCTCACCTAAGAAAATAGAAGAAAAACACAAACATTATCTTCACACATACATTAATCATTAGAAATATCAGAAATATAATGGGGACAAGCACTATCAATGTGCAGAAGTCAAGTGTATGCAAAAGTTTGCATAGAACGAGGGAGAGGAAACAGAACATGTACATGACATGCGAAAATGACAGCTACATACATTACACAAAGGTCAGTTTTCCTAAATTCAGGATTCAACAAAGTGCCTCTCCTGGATGATCTGCTCAAGCTTCATGAATAAAGCTCGTTGCTCCTCAAATGTAAGATTCATTAATATCTACATGAAAGATAAAGTTAATATCAACTCATTTTCACAAGTTCAATTCGGTAAATTTTCGGCTTGTTCCATCTACCTGGTCCATAATAGCTTCAATCGATAAGCTTTGAGGTACGACAAATGACTGGTGGTAGATATATGCAAACACGGCCATCACCATCTGACACAAGTGACCAGTTAACTACAGAACAAACTTGAACGCTTGACAATGTTTACTTTATAAACCCACATAGTCAAGAAGGCACTTAAACGCACATGTTTAAAAGGCTTTAAACAACAAAAAATTAAACTAAATCAGGAGAGTGGATGGTGGAGAAGATAACATAGAAACTCAAAGGTGTACATCTTTGCAAACTGAGAGCGACAAGATTCGACTTCTCTTAATTTCTTAGCCTCGGTAAACTAAAAATGTTTTCCAGCACTTAAAAGGGTGAATTAGTGAACTTCCTCCTCCTCGATCAACCTATTGAAACACAATCAGAGAAGTTCTCCCACTTCCAAAATAATAATTGTTCAACTCTCGTGACAGACAAAGCAAGTGCATGGTCAATCTAAAGGACGTGAGAAATTCAAAAATATATCCTGTATCAACAATAACAAGAACACTCTAAGAAGCATCGATACTTCTAAACTTGTTATGTAGCCGTATCCAATATGTATCCAAGCTCCGACACTCTTCAATATCATCCAATACGTACCAGATACTTATTTTTCAATTATTTTATAGATTTTTATATTTTTTAAATTTTCGATACGTATCCTATATGTATTTTTAAATTATTTGTGTTTCAATTATTTTATGTATTTTTATATTTTTTATATTTTCGATACGTATCCGTATATATTTTTTAATTATTTAACATTTTTTATGATTTTCAATACGTATCCAATACTTCAGGGTTCACGTGAACATTTGCCACAAAACCCTGCTTTGAAACTTCTTGTACAACCTAATGTTGAAGTCAACTCGCCACCTGGTAATTAAGATGTGTTCTGCATCTTCATCCTCAATGTTCATTTATATTCTATAGAAATTAGGATTTTGAAGACACATTTTTCTTTCTTTTTTCATTTTTTCTTAACTTAAAACATTTATCACATTGATCGAAACTATTATTAGTTATCTGTCTCATGTTTTTGGTTTCCCGTCTTCTACTATACATCAGAATTGTCACGCAGCGAAGGGCATATTGCCTCTTCCAAAAACTTGAAATACTTATGATTCGATGGAGAGATAAATCTGCGGCTCTTTCCATTGTCCAAGCAAGATTGGTTGGATTAGCCCACTTTTCTATAGGTTATATATCATCAATGCAGCTTATAAGTATTCTTTGTATGCATATTGTTAAATAATAAAAAATAAACAATTGACTCTTCTAAAAAAATTTTTGGAACTTTCAAATTAATAAAAACTTAAAAGGTTAGTCATAATTGTTTGTTTATTTACTGAGATACACACTGCCTCGGTATCTCCAAAGCATCAAATTACTTATAATCTTTCATCTTTAAAATTGTGTCAACACTTGTTAACATAATTTTAACACTTTGATAACATCATTAAGAAGAGTATAAATTTCACGTCAAACTAGGTGTAACATTGCCTCACTGTAATTCATTCAGACTAACCTGGCAATCCATTCTATCAGTGATTCCACCATGTCCGGGAATACTATCACCAAAATCCTGCAGCAAAAAGAAACATTGAAGAATGGGTAGTACAATGATAAAAGAGCTTTAACATATGGATCAAAGTTCCACAGAAAATGAAATAAAGAAAAACAATAATGAACCTAGATTTGAGGGCTTAGCTCCGATTAAAAATTGAAAAATTAATGCTATCAGACCTTGAACTTGAAAGCTCTTTTAAAGCCACTAGCAAAAAAGCCTCCAAAAGGTGCTATAATTGATGAAAAGAGACCAAGCGCCAAGGCATGCCACTGTACTGGTAAAACAGATATCTCTCTCCAAGGGAACTGCCAAAACAATCAAGAAGCACAGCAGTTAAGGAATAGCAGATTTTGACATATGAAATTCAATAAGAATACAAAATTACATAAACAGAAATTTTAAGGACACTGGCAATCTAAGACATTACAAGTTTCCTAATAGCCTTTAACTCAATCAAGCACAACCATAATGGTATTGGCATTATACAATGGGTTTAGATTCGTTGATTGTTTTGAGGTCAAGAATATGGGATGCATTGGTTCCAATCTCCAAAATGTGCGGGGGGAAAGGAAAATCGATAGTTTCTATAGAATTTTTGTGATTTTAGATTTTATTTTAGCTACTGAAGCTCTATTATCTTTTGAGTTTATTTAGCAATTGAACAGTTTCTTGGCCAAAAAATGGCATATGCATGATCTTCATGTCACAACACAAGAAAATTATCAGACCAAGTAAATGAAGATGTTGTGCGACAGATGTTCTTCATTTATTCCTTTGCAAATCAGGTAGACAAATTGGCACGGAATGAAGATAAGAGAATGAAACTAAACGTTTAGGTAAGATCCTTCTAACGAATTGTTAACAAGATAGAGAGGATCAATACCTATATACTAAATACACATCCAAAAAAACTAGCATCATAACTTGTGAGGCATCAAGTACTTTCATGCACAGAAAAGTCAGTTTTATCAATACAGAAACTTTCAGAGAAGAAGATGCACATAGGTCAGATAGAGAAAACCAATTACCCATAGAGGAACCCATTGAGGGACATTAAAATAATCTGGCTTGAACAGAGGACCAGGATCACAACGAAGCCAGCCGGTTGATAAATCCTGCATGTCACAGAGCACAAGAAAGTTTAAATTCCTCAGAAATGAACATAATGACTATTAAAAAAGGTGATTAGGTATAAGGCAGCAGAAGTCACCTTTCTTGGACATGTTAACCACTGAAAACGACCCAATATATTTGCAAGCTGCACAACAAGTGAGAGTATATTCATTGCCACAATTTTTAACAAGCATATTCCTGCTATAATCCCCAATTATATATTTATTTCCATCTCACTTCTCGCTTTCTTTAAAAGTGAGATGGTTATGTTTATGATGATAGGCACCAACAGGGACATCCAACCATAAAGGTCTAACCACTGGCGAAGTTCACACTTAAAAGTGCTCTGACCCTAATTCTGAAAGGAAGATTGAAAAAAATAAAGGACCAAAATAGCCATCCGTAAACCAAAGATATAGCCTCGACCATTCATCAATACTGGCACATCATGTTAAACCTATTGCCAAATAAATGGATAGACTGCTCACCACAAATGCAGAGACAACAGTTGCAAATGATGCTCCAATAAAGCCCTCCCATGTTTTTTTCGGTGATATCTTGATTAGAGGAGTTCTCCCCAAGAAAAAGCCGAAAAAGTAAGCAGCAATATCATTGATGACGATAAGTGATGCTGGAAGAAGGAACCTGCAATATTATTAAACCATTTTTCAAGTTCTTTATTCAAATTCAATAATTTGGACGTAAATGTGAGATGCTGTGTCAGTCCTAATAACTAATTTAGAACAAGGACAGTAGTTACCGAAATATAAATAATCAAGAAGCAAAAGAACCTTACATAGAAATCTCAAAAACAGGATAAACTGCTGTGAAAGAAAACAATGTTTTTACCTATTTGACTTGCAAAGGAATTTGGTTTATAAATATTTTCTTTTCAAGTTAGATTTAAAGTCCATACAACCAACGGCTGGGAGTAAAACTTGAGACTGGTTATAGTCTATTCTCTTGACTGGACAAGTTGCAAACATGTCACACACGGAGAACAAGAGATCCATAGATCTCCCAAAATAGTTCAAGTGGTAAAACCATAATATCAAATGGCAAGAATGCAAAGACAGTAGACCAGATACTAGTATTCTAAGTAATTAATACAATCAAATAGAGGCTTCAAAGTTGTGTTACCAGAATATTCCTTCAAAAATATTTGCCACGGTAAAAGAGGACTGGGTAAACACCACAATCAGAATCATATGAGTCCATGCATATTGTCCAAACTGATACTTATACATCTTCTTCTTTAGTGTCAGAATAAACCACATAAAACCTGAAGTCAACAAGAGAAGAAAATTTTCAATACATTCTTCTAACCCGAAACAGGCGACAATTAACATTTTAAAAGAGAACTCTTATAGATAATAAATTAATATCAAGCATTTTAGCCCCCGTTTGATCCCCATTAAATTCAATTACATTACATTCCATTTTTCTCTCTTCTATTTTCAACCACACAATCTTCCATAAAATAATATTACACGTAAATCGAAAATTTTTCCTTCTTTTTCAACTACTCATTTTTCTAAAAAATATTATTCCTCTCATTTTCATTTTCAGGTAATGGGGGTCAAACGGGGGCTTAGAAACCACAAAGTATTATTAGCATATTATTATTATGAACTAAATGAAAGATAAAATTCAAAAGAAAGAGCATAAAAAAACCCAGTTTGACAGCCTGTAACCTAAGTATGACTTTTTTTCCAGAGAATCCTCAGGTAACCACTACATGGAACATCACAGAAGAAACATAGTACCAACCTGCAATATACAAGAAATAACAGGTAACCATGTGATACTTGATAAATCCAATCACGAGCTTATGCAAAAATTTATCTGAAGTAACTGTATTAGCAAGCCTCTGATTGAGGAAGCGGCCATACACAAACAGCATTGCAGTGAAGAAGAAGTGCCTGAAAAAGGAAAGTAGCAAATTAGTAGAAATAGCCAATTGGAATGAAGCATTATATCTAGCAGAAATTTCTCCTAATCAACTAAAAAAGTATATTTCTGGACATCAGGAGTAAGCTAATCCACCCCCCACCAAATAGAGCATCACTGTGGACATGGACAAATAACTTGAGATAGTAATTCATGTGCGAGAGCATAGAAGTAAGCAGTGAATGCCTTAACGGTATATTTGATCTTCATATTTTATAAGCATACACTGATAATCCTGTCTTCAAAATTATCGAAAGGGATATATATCTTGACATTTCTCCGATCATAGTAAATGGAGTACTGCTTGTGGCAAAGGCCTTTTCTATCCTCCACAATAAACGATGCTTTGGATTCTGCCATACGCAATCAATTGACATAAATGACCCTATCGACTGCAAGATGAAGATCTTTCCCAGAGAATGAATGATACAAAAATAAAAGCTATTTTGGAACCATGCTTCTTTGTATCATTAGCTACTTTGCACTGCATGACTCGGTGCAAAAGGCGGAAATATTTTTCTAACATGTGAGATGCAGCAGGTGCATATAATAGTTGGTGGAAGTGATTTCTCCAAGCAAGAAGAGGAGATAAAAAATTTTAAGTACAGAGAATATGACAAAGAAGTAGATGAAATGAAATGAGCGTCAAATTACCATCGTGCCATTGATGTAATTGATGGTAGTAGGCTAATGCTGTAATTTCAGTTCTTTAACATGATATATACCGGATTTTTCTTTTCCACATTCTCAATTTGAAATAGTCAAGTTTGTTAAAACAATAACAATATTTGCACACAGATACAAAAGTCTCTTCCAAATGACTCGTTGATAGGATTAAAAATGATTACAATCTATCCGAAGTGATCCCGAGGCTTGATAAAACAGAAAGTCTGCCTAACATATATACTAGCTTCCCATCATCATGATTCAAAGACCTAATTAGAGCATGCTTGGGGAGGCTTATAAGTAAGATTATAAGTATGAGAAAGAGCCCCGCATACTTTTTCTCTCTCATACTTATAAGCACTCGCCCAAGCATGCTCTTAGTCGACCATTGGCACATAGCATTTCGAGTTCATTTATCCTCTTTAATTGAACATTTCAAGAAAAATAATAATATGGACAAGGTTATCAAGGCTACAGAAGAAAACAGAGCAACAAAAAAAGAGGATATATGACAATCTCGAAAAATCTTGAGCATGATACAGAACTTCCAGCAAAGTGCACATTGGAACATGTTTTCTGATAAATTAATACTTAAATATAAAAACCATCCATAATTGATTGGCAAATGGGCTAATTTATAATCACGAAAAACTGCAAGCCCAGGGTATCTAAACTCTGGCATGTCATGAGAAATCCATAAGCTGCACTCCACTTAAACTACTTCACAACTTGATTATGAAAGATATCCAAAGGTCACTGAATATGAAAAATAAAAGCCTCGAGTTAAGAGGCTGAAAGTTTACTCACCAATTTAAAAGCCTGAAACCTGGGAGGCGACTGTCTTCATGTGCTCTCCTAAGTAAATTGAATAGCTCTCTTGCCATAAAAATTTGGATAACAACTACCATGGCCCAGATATAAAGGTGTCCCATGTAGATTACGAAGGCAAAACCTCCAATCATCCAAACTGATGAATATATACGGATTAACATTGACTTGTATTTTTTTGTATCGTCTACAAGTAAATGGCTTCCATTTGCTTTAACAACTTCAGAAGGAACCTAAAATATTAGAAATGAAAGAAAATAAGATAAGATGTTTGAAACCACATTAAATATAATTTATTTATTTATTCATTATTTTTTTTTTTTAAAGAGGTATTTTGAATCTAGAATATTTTTGGATACTAACAAAGAAAGAAAGAAAACGTAAATGGAGAAAATTGTAGTCCTCGCAATTCCTATTCACTACTAAAATAAAAACTAAATTCCTGAGGTAATAAAAACTAAATTCCTGAGGTTAACATAAAATATATCAAAAGGGAAGTAACATTTAAATACTCTTCTTCACATGTTCTTCACCTGTTTTTTTCCTAGTAACCAAGTGAAGAAGAACAAATTCCTCAGCATTTGCTAAGTCAAACAGGAGGGCAAATTTCCCAATAGCTACCTAATATAGGTCTACTGACAGTTGCAATGTGATAGAGCTTGCAATGTACAACAAAGCTTTACTCCAATAAACTAAGGCAAAATTAATTTCATATCTCCAAGCATAAAGGAGGCAACGGATAGAATTTTCCATCGTTAGTCCTTTGTATTCCTAGTTGAACCAAACAAGTCTTTAAAAAACTCCACTCGGCCAATCTTCTATGTTTGAGAAGAGCATAGAATAACATAGCTGCATGATGCATAAAATCGCCTCAAAAAATATATTAACCTCATTTGAGCCTCTGCGCCGGCGTAGCCTCCCAGTAAGACCGCTAGTCGTTGATGGGCCGCCAGAATCGTTGTCCTTTTGCATAATTCCTCCTCTAGTTAAACTCCTCTAGAAATATTAACATAAATATTATAATTTCACGAAATCAACTGAGAAACCAAGAGCAAACATTGGAACAGTTAGCACCAATTAAATCTCTAAGTAGATGGAAGAAAAAAACCAAAGTTAAAAAAGGGGCTCCCCTCATCTTTTTTTGTCCTGATAACATATCATAATTCAAGACCTTACAAGATACAGTTAAAAACAAAAGAAGGAAGATAACACCAACAACAGTCTCTCCTTACGTTTCAATCAGAATTTTCGTCTATTAACGTTCCATTGGTTCCAATAGTATCAAAGTAACTGTTCGGAAAAAATAAAAAAAAATAAGAACCCTCAAAAGTCAAGTTTATTAAAAACAACTAAAAGGGAAAGGAAAACAAAGCAACTACCTATTAGAAAATTTCAAAATCTTTTGTCTGGATTTGTTCACTGGGAAGAATTCCATTAGTTTGATACATCCTTTTGGTTACCTGAGCATGAACCCCCGACACGTTTTATTTTCTTCTATTTGATGATTTCAGTGCTATAAACAATGTTAGAAGTACAGATGTGCGGTGAATTGATAAGAACGCTGAAAAATTCATCAACAAGAAGCTAAAACAATTCCAGCAACATACTTTAATTGTCATTTTTCCTAAACAGAGTCCAACATCTTCCATGAGACTGATACAATGAGAATACATGGATATAAACACACAAAGATACAGTGGCAGACGCAAAAATTTTGAGATAGGGGAGCGATCAAACTTGCAAAAAGGTTGTGAAAAAATTAATGCATTCGATATCTTACTGTCAATATTGTCAAATACATCATGCCCGGTGTATGCAATCAAATAATCAATAAAACAAACTCAATATAAATAGAATAAAGATAGCAAAGCAGGGACGGAAGGGAATATTAGAGCATAAAGTGGCTCAGTTGTATAAATGGAATCACATTATTATGAAACAAGTCAAGTGGCAACATAATCTCCACGTCATTCCTCCCAGCAAACTCAATCCCATCAACATAACCCCCAGCAATAGCAACTCACTGGCCACTGCCCAGTGCACGCTCAAATCAATTCCCACCAACATTCATTCCCACAAATCAAATAAACATAATCCCCATGGCCCAGCAACTCATTTTCAAACAGAAGCCCTCGATTTCAAGTTTCAACAAACAAATATGATATCAAACAGTCAGAAGCCGGAATTAGAAGGTTAGGGTTCATTGAAACTTACAGGAAGCGGAGAGATCCGAGCAGTGGCGAGAAAAAAAGAAATAAAACCGAAATCAAATACTTCCGGGGGCGTCGGTGACTCACAGTGACTGGCAGATTTTAAGCGATATCTCTAGAGTCGCGGGATGAACTCTGCCTTTCGTGCTCTTTGGAGGGATTTCTAGTTTAACTATTTGGGCCGTTTGTGTAAAAAAATTACGAACTGGTGGGACTTGTTTGAGCCGTTTGTTGAAAAGATTGGATTTGGGCTTTTTACAATAAGCCCCTCTTTGAACCATATTTTCAGCCGCAAAAAATGAAAACTTCGATTGCTGGAGATCAATTTCAGCCACCACGTTTGTCTCCATCTCTTTTAGGTGGGACCCGCATTAGAAAATAACGGTCAAAAATTTTTACTTTCTTCCTTGAAAATATGGCTCAAATAGGGGCTAAAATAGAGGAAAAAATTCACAAGCTAGATAAGTATGTGACAATTCAGGTTTTAAGTTTCAAAATTCAAAACTTAGGTATTAATTAATCAATTATATTTTATTAACTAAATATATTAATGTCACAATTATACATTCAGTGATCACAATTACATACTTATAAGCCACAATTTATTTATTGATCACATATTATCAAATTAATTAGTCACAAATTATTTCACAATCACCAATAAAAAATATTCACATGTCACGGTTAATTTGTCAATTACATTTTCAAATTAATTAATAACAAATTATTTTTTCCACATATTATAGAATTTTTATGTCACAATATTATTGAATAAAAAACTTTTAAGCAAGATATTTGAATTTGAAAAGTTAAATGCCTGTTTTTATGTAATTTTCCCTTGATTAAAAAAAAATAAAGATTTATAAAATTGTTGGGTCACTTGACCCATCATGACACTATGTCTAAGGCTGGGCAAAAAATTCGATAAACCGCCTAAAGCAGTCAAATCGAACTGGTTCAGGTTGATTTGATTCAATCTATTGGATTGGTTTGGTTTTTATTAAGCAAAACTGAATTGAGTTGGTTCGGTTCAGTTTGAAGCCTCAAAGCGGTGGGGAACCGAACCGTCCCAATTCACTAACTTTTTTTTTTTTTTCAAACCACAGGTTTAAATTAATTCACAATTCACTCAGTTACCCTAATCTCATATCATTCGGTTTCTCAATCTCTAGTCGTCTCCAAATCTCTCATTGCAATCCAAATTCCTAATCCAATCTCCTAGCTCCTATATTACTTCTAAAGCCTGAAATCAACTTCCACTCTGTTGGATATTGGTTAAATAAATTGAGAATTGAAAATCGATTAAAGTTCGTATCGAATTCGACCAAATACTCAAAAGCTCGACTCAATCCGTTTAGGCAAAATTGTTTGCCATTTCGCCGCTTCGGGGCGCACAAACGGGGATCGACCTGCCCGGTCAGGTCGCGAGAGTCGAGGGGGCAGCGCCCCTCGTGGGGCGTCGGGGGCAACGCCCCCGAAAGAGAATTTTGATTTCTCTGCATGTATTGAAGGGTATATTTGGCATTTCGAAAACCAATATCGGATGAATGAGAAATTACGAAAAAGGCCTCAACCATTAGTGAATAGACACCTTTTCATAAAGGTGCATTGTTTGGAAAGGGTGCATGGTTTGGCCTCAACCATTTCGTCCACACCCCTTCATGGTCTATAAATAGGACCCTTTGGGTGTCCTATTCCACACAGTTTGATATGCAAAAACGTCTCTCATCCTCTCTTCTATCCAAAATCAAAATCATTTCATTTATTTTGATTTTCTTTCATTTCATCTGTGGAGTACAAAAGCCTACATTTGGTTCGTTGTACTTGTGTTTTGGAGTGCTACAAACACAAGTGTAGCCGTTGTATCTTGGGAGTCGATTGCCGAAATTCGTCGGCACCGTTGCGGGGCAAATTCGACTTAAGGACAAAGAGTCCAACTCTTGCCTCGACTTTGTCACCATCATTATACTTATTTCGGCGTCACTATTCACAAAATTCTTCCAACACACTCTTCGAGACTCCGACTCCATAGCTGCAAGGTAATCCAATATTCGTTTCCTCGTTTTGTGTTTTGACTATTTTGCTTGAGTGTTAATTTATGTCTGGAATTTTTTTTCTGGTGGCTATATATTTTATACAAATATCTTGTTGTGAAATTTATTAATTAGTTAACTCCTAGGTGACTGGGCCCTTAGCTTTATCTCAAGGAAATATGAAATCTATTGTATTTATTAGTGTAATCTGAAATTAGTAATCCATATTCGATATTGTGGAATGCATCCAATACAATTAAACTATTATTCTATTTAACCTTTGTAAGTGTAAATTAACAATCTAAAAATCCTTTATTTGCAAACTATAATCTGTCGTTTTATTTAATTTGCCTTAGTAATTAAAATCTGAATTGTGTTGTAATACATGCACACTGCGTGCAGGTTTTTGAATATGAATATTGACAACAAGTGTAAATAAAATGGTGAAACCCCAGCAATATCAATTCCAGGTAGAAATACTATCAATCTTCCTCCACTTCCACCTTCATGCTTAGGGAAAAGAAAATATAACAGGAAAACTTCGGATGTATGGGATCATTTCATGATAATGGGAGATCCAAAAGATGAAGATGTTAGGTGTAAGTATAAATATTGTTGGCAATCTTATGCCTGTGGGGCTAAGAAATATGAGACTAGTACTTTAAGAAGTCATTTAGTTAAACATTGTAAAAAGTATCCTGATAGGGTGGGTGACAAAAGGCAAAAAATCTTAAATTTTGATAAACAAGTTGATGGTAGTGGGACCAATCTTATGTCTATTGGGTTCAGTAAGGAAGCATGTAGATTAGCATGTGCAAGAATGGTGGTCATCGACAAACTACCTTTTAGTTTTGTTGAAGGGATGGGATTTAGACACTTTTGTAGTGTAGCTTGTCCTAAATTTGACCCTTCATTGCATAGGACTATAGTGAGGGATATTTACCAACTATATTTGAGTGAGAAATTAGAGTTGAGCAAGAACCTTACTACTCAACGTCAAAGAGTTTCACTTATTACAGATATTTGAATATCCATTCAAAATATAAATTATATGTCTCTTATAGCCGATTACATTGATTCTAATTGGATGGTTAAGAAAAGAATTTTGAATTTTTGTGTGATACCTAATGACAAGAGTGAAACCATCAGCAAGGTTATAGAAAGTTGATTGCATGAGTGGGGCCTTAACAAGGTGTTTACAATCACAGTGGACAGTGCTAGTGCAAATGAAATGACTATTTCATATCTTAGAAGGAAGATGATTGGTTGGGGGTAATGATGGGTGTATTTTGGATGGCAAATATTTGCACATGAAATGTTGTGCACATATCTTTAACTTGTGTGTGAGGAGTTGAAGGAAGCACATGATTCAATAGTTAGTATTCATAATGCTGTGAAGTATGTGAAATCCTCGCCTGCTAGATACGAGAAATTGAAAGTGTGCAACTAAAGAAAAGATCGAATCAAAATCACTTATGTTTCTAGATATAACTACAAGGTGGAATTCTACCTATGAAATGTTGGAGGGTTACTGACCCAATCAGCATCTGCAAAGGCATGAAGTCAAAGAGGAGAGTAGCGGCTGATATAAAGATATTGTGTTAAGGTGCCTTTGAGGTAGCGCAAAAATCTTTTGACAATAGACCAATGAGTTGTTGTAGGACAATGCATGAACTTTGATAGTTTATTCACAGAAAAGGAAACATCAGGACGTGTGAGAGATAAATACTGGAAAGAACCAATGACCTATCGATATTGTTTTTCATCAGTTGGTGGACTGCCATCATGAAGACGTAATGTTTCATTAGAGGCAAGAGGAGTAGAAACTTCCTTTGCATTAAGCATTTTGGTCTTGTCAAGTAAATCACGAATATATTCTCTTGTGAAAGAAGTAACCCAGAAGAGGTGCGAAAGAGCTCAACGCCAAGAAAGTAACTGAGAGTGCCAAGGTCTTTCAAAGAGAACCTGCTAGCCAAGTTGGAGATAAAGTGTTGAATCCGAGATGGAGTAGTGCCAGTAACAATTATGTCATCCACATAAACCAGAAGATAAATGAGATGACCATTATGAGCATGTATAAATAAAGAACTGTCAGACTTAGAATTAAGAGAACCGCAAGATAATAAAAAGTTACGGAGTTCATAATACCAAGCCCTTGGTGCTTGTTTTAGACCATAGATTGCTTTCTTCAGTTTACACACATAATGTGGGTATTGAGAATGAATAAAACCAGGAGGTTGTTGCATGTAGACAATTTCAGTAAGCCTTCCCTGTAAGAAGGCATTATTAATATCTAACTGTCACAAGTGCCAACCGTTAACCACAGCAAGAGTAATGATGATACGAATGGTGGTCGATTTTACAACTGGACTAAAGGTATCATTGAAATCAATTCCTGGTCTTTGGTGAAAACCTTTAGCAACTAGGCGAGCCTTGTACCGAGCAATGGAGCCATCAGGTTTCTTCTTAATACGAAACACCCACTTACACCCAACAATGTTTTGTGTAGGGCTAGGAGCAACAAGGGTCCATGTTGAGTTTTGAACAAGAGCATCATACTCCTCACTCATGGCATTGCGCCAAAGAGGAGACTTTCGAGCTTGAGCAAATGACATAGGTTCAGTTTGGTCAAGTGAAGGTTTGGTAGTTGTATGAAGGTTAAGGATTTGTTTGGGGCGAAAGATGTTATTCTTTGATCGAGTGACAATTGTGGTAGGAAGGATAGGGTTAGTAATAGGCACTTGTAAGTTAATATGTGATGTCTGTGAAGAATGGTCCAAGTTAGGATCAGATTCAGATGCTACTTGACTAGTCGAGATAATGGAAACATCATGGGGCCTATTATGCATAGGGGATAGAGGAACAAATCGAGAATGGGAATTATTTGTGGACATGTGTAAGGTGTTGGAGGTAGTCTGAAGTGATGAAGTGGAAGAAGACTAACCATGACTTTGAGAATTAGAAAGATTATCTTGGATCGAAAATATAGGAAGATGAATAAATGATGAAGGAGAAGATTTTGTCTCAGTGGAAGTATGATTTGCCTAGTTGTGAGGAAACCACGTTGAAGTGTCACTAATATTGACTTTGGACCCTATTGAAGAAGTATAGGAAAAAAGGGAACTTAGATTCAATAAAAATAACAAGACGTGACACGAATATCTTATGACTT